ATAGGGGTCTGGAGAACAACACGCCTGGCTTTGTCTGTTGCTTCGCCTCCGTCAGAACTGGGCATGTGCGGCCAGGCAGGAGGCGTGGCTATCTCAGACTTAGTCTTATTGGGTACAAGGGACTTCAGGAAACCCAATCAAGTGGATTATCCATCATCATGCTGAGAAATGGCGTTCAGGTAAGACCAACGCCCCTTTTATTTATTTATTGTATTTGATATTATTTCAAGTATGTATAAAAACAAAAACTACAGAGAAGGTAATTATATTTATGTCCTGTTAATTCACCACAGTTACTGTTGGTATATATTGGATATGTATAAGTTATTTTATCCAAATGAAAGCTCAAATCTTCATTGTAAGTCCTTCAAACAAATTGAATAAAATAAAATGGGCAATTTTTTAAATTAAGTTATCAACATTCAATACTGTTATTGTAAATTGAATGTCTATAATTACAAATTTTAAATTTGGACTTTATTACTTTTATGTTTATTTTAGGAAGTATTGTTGGATTAAAAGGCAATGCTGGTCAGAGTGCATATAGTGCTAGCAAAGCAGGATTAGTTGGATTTTCACGCTCTTTTGCTAAAGAAGTAGCACGAAAGAACATTCGAGTCAACATGGTTGTTCCAGGTGTGTTTTGGGTTCAGTTACTTATTCTTTATCACATAAGATACAGTATTTCTGGAATATGAAAGTCACAAAACATGGGCACATAGCTATATAAAAGATGGGGTGGTTATTTCTCCAAAATTTCTATTTCAAAATTATATCAGCTTGATATTCAGTAGTTAAAGAAAATTAAAATGGTTGCTAGGGGTACTTGTAGTATATACAATTTTTTCCAGATGATGGCGAATTTACTTCAGTGACAGTCCTGATTGTTGACTGTACTTGTACACACATACGGGAGGCACTTGAAGTGGCCACATAAGTTTTTTTTGAGATCCTGACAAATGGTGTTAGATAGCGGGAGTAAATACTGGATACTGTACCTGAAAGTATGTCCATATATAATATAAATGCATATGTACATTTTAAAGAAAAAGTGAAGATACTGTGGTACTGTGCTTGAGCAACATATATTGGTACATATAAATAGATTCCTCTTCTCATGATGTACTGTTTTCATACTAATACCATTTTCAAACTATACCTTTTGAGTAAAACCTCCAGTTTTACATCCAAGAAAAAATATATTTCTCAGCCATAGTCTCTGCTGATTTTATTAAATTCGTATGTCTCTTCATTATACTCTGCTAAAATTACAATCCTGCAAATACTTTATTTGGAGCAAGCCCAACTAAGAACTGTCAGACTTATGAAAGAGCATCCAAATAAACATTAAGACTATGAATATGAATTGCCTTCTAATTTTTATGTATGTGTGTGTTTTTGTGTCTATGTCATATATGAAATTTCATTTAGTTTTAAGAGTATGTTTGCATATGTAGCATACGTGGAAGTACAGAAACCTCCCGGATCATTCCATGTCAAGTGGTCTGATTTCAGAAAAATGCCCTGCTCGACCATCACGGATTTTGATGAAACTTTGTGTGAACATGCACACACATCACCAATGAACATTGGTAAAGTGTTACATTTGCCGATGCAATACTTGCGGAGATATAGTCATTTGTTTGACCCCATACCGCAGACTCTGAGATTCCAGCAACTTTGAAATATAATATCTCTGGCAATATTTTGTTGAGAGAAACAAAACTTGGCCATCTTGTACAACTTTTTGTACTCTATTAAAATAATAAACACATTCTCATGAGCGATCTCCATCTAGATAATTTGGAGCAAAGTTGGCCAAAAATATTGCGGCTCAAAAAAAAGTTTAAAGTTTGACTTTTAATATCTCTGGAAGGAAAGGTATGATAAACGTGAAACTTTGCGTGTAATAACTTAACAACACAAGGATTTCAAATATAAAATTTCATTCTGCTGCTGTCCCAATAGTTTACAAATTGAGTGTAAATTTGATGTTTTTTGTAAAAATGCCAAAAATAGGGTATTTTCAGCCCGCTTTTACAAAAAAAAGACCTTCTGGAAACTCTGTTAAATCATTCTCATTAGAAAGAGCATGTTTCAAACCCCCTAAAAAAGTAGGGTTCATCGCTGACGTATAAAGCCCTAAAAATAGGGACAAAGTTGAGGACATTGCTAAGGCAACATCATGTATGTCAACATGCATTCTTTTATATTGTGCTGTTGTCATTTATGCTGGAAGTTAAATTGTGTAATTCATTTCTTGCATGCTATATCAATCTGTTACTCTACTAGCAGTGCTTCTACACTAATGACAGCAGTTAAACGTGCTGTAAGTAATTTAGTGACGCCACACGTTAGCATTGTTGCGGCTATAGGATTCTGAACTGTACAGGTGTAGTTGTCATATTTCTGTCATAACATTAGAATCTTATATAACTTCTGTGTTTCAGATTTTGCAGTAATACACTTTATATTATTGTGAATTTCCATAATATGCAAAATGGATGTCGACAAGTCAACTGGCAATCCTACTTTGCCCAAATGTGCTGTTGGAGAAAAATTGTCACCATGGTTCATTTTATTCTAACGAAATTGGGCTGCATTATGTGCACAGTTTGTCCGCCGAAGAAAAAATACTCATTACTCGGCGATCGAAGGTTGAGCTCACAGACGATGACCAAATCTGCTTGTATCGCAAAGCGATGTATCTGAAAAAGTATGACATGAAGCAAAAGTCGTGCTGCAACCCATTTGACAAACAAAATCACGTAGCTAAACATGGGCTGTTGAAAGTCGATCTAGCTATGTCCAATGATTTAACAAAAGTGGTAAAAAGAAATGTGAAGCTGGGTCAAAAGATTTGTTCCAAGTGTAAAGCCAAATATGTTTCCATGGTCCAAAGCATGTCAGACTCTTCGTCATCGGATAATTACAATATGGACATTTCGGACACTGTTAATCAAAGTTTGACCGATTTAGGGAGTTCTTTGTTAAAAATTCGGAAGTTGAGCAGTAGGGATAAAACTGGCTATGTGAAACGAAAAATTGAACGTGTGCAGAAAGTGGTAGCAGACAAAATAATGTTAGCTGCTGGAGTAGCAGCTGAAGATATTGGGCAAACTAGTGAGTCTGCTGCTAAGGAATGCCAGTCATGCCAGGATTACGCTGACCTAATTGAAGACATGAAAACAAAAATTAAAATATCTGATAGATTGATGAAAGTTCAATTATTGACTTTGGCCCCAAAGAGTTGGTCAATACCAGTGACAGCAAAAACGTTTGACATTTCAGAATGTATGGTTAAAACAGTGAGAAAACTAAAGAAAGAGGCATTTGTGCACTACCAGATGCAAAAGTTGGCAAACCGCTGCCAAAGGAAATCACCTACAGAGTTCGAGATTTCTATGAGGATGACGAATTTAGCAGGATGTGCCCCGGCAAGAAGGATTGTGTTTCCATTTCAGCTTGATGGCGTCAAGGTTCACAAACAAAAGCGGTTGCTATTGTGCAATCTGAAAGAACTGTATGTGGCATATTGAAACAAATATGATACTGAAATTGGTTTCTCCAAATTCTGTGAACTCAGACCAAAGTGGTGTCACCGTCTGTGCCTCAGGCACACATCCCATCTGCATCTGCACCATTCATCAAAATGTTAAGCTTATGCTACAAGGTGCCAACATTAAAGAGGACTACAAGCTGCTCATGGGAAAGGCAGTTTGCGATCTGAACACCAAAGATTGTATGTTGTAGCGATGCCAAAACTACCCTGTTGAAGAGGCACTGATAGCGCATTTGGACGAAATATTCGAGGACTGGGATTCGGAAGAATCAATAGAATTCAAACAATGGGTTCATACTGACTGCGAAACGCTGGAAACAAATGTTCTCACTGTTGACGGCTTCATCGAAAAACTTGCTAGCAAAATGTGGAAACTGACTGGCCACCACTTCGTTTCAAAACATCAAAGCGAATATTTGAAGTCGTTGAAAGTCGGCCTAAAAGAAACCGAACTGATTGTACTGATGGATTTTGCGGAGAATTACTCATTTGTTGTCCAAGATACTGTTCAAGGCTTTCATTGGGAGAATTCGCAAGCCACAGTGCATCCGTTCGTCGCTTATTATGCTGATAAAGATGGCGCATTACAACTTGTCAACTGTTGCATAATTTCTGATCATATGAAACATGATACAGTTTCCGTACACGTGTTCATTCGGAAGTTGATTGAGTTTTTGACAACTAAAATGAAGATTACAAGAATATACTACTTTAGTGACAGTTCAGCGGTGCAATACAAAAATTACAAAAATTTCGTCAATCTGTGCAATCACAAACATGATTTCGAAATTGAGGCCGAATGGAATTTTTTCGGCACAAGTCACGGCAAATCACCATGCGACGGAGTTGGTGGCACGACTAAACATTTGGCTGCTCGAGCCAGCCTCCAGCGACCATCAACCGACCAAATACTGACACCGACAGATCTGTTTAACTTTTGTGACAGAAACATTCACGGAATTAAATATATATATGTTCCGAAGGAAGAAATTGAAGAAAGCAGGATGCTGCAAGAAGAAAGATGGAAAGTTATCAGCACAATAGTTGGCCCAAGAGATCATCACTAGTTTGTGCCAGTTGATTCAAATTCGATTTCTGTCAGCAAAGTTTCAAATGACATGATTAACTTTGTGGCCAAAATGTCCAATATCGTTGATCCAAATTTAAAATTGGCCGACATATTTCCTGGTTTTTATGTTGCCTGCATTTATGACATAAAATGGTGGGTAGGCAACGTCATGGAAATTTCGATCGAACAAAATAATGTGTTGGTAACATTTATGCATCTGCGAGGCCCTGCTCATTCATTTTATTGGCCTGGAAGACATTTGTTGGGTTCCAGAACCACATCTTATTTGCATGCTTCCAGCACCTTCAGTTATGTCGTCAGATCGACAGTATCAATTCCCAAAAGCAATGCTAAAGAACGTGGTAAGTAAATTCAATAATAAATAAGCGATTGTTGGAATTTGGCACTTCATACGAACAGTACGGACTTCGGCTTGGGAACCATATAAGATACCCACTTTAGGCTTGGGAATCTAGGATAAGCTGCCCAATTGTCGGCTTGGGAACCGGACAGATACCCACACAAGGCTTTGGAACCTCAAGGAAGAAACCAAACTACAGGCTTGGGATCCTGAACCAAGAAACCCACCCGTGGCTGGTGTTGCACGGCTATCCGGCATGCCCCCTATGGTGACAGGGTTGCTGGTTCAAGTGCCTGAACTGGTAGTGACAATGTCACCATGGACCAACGCAATATAGTAGTAGTAATGATGTCTATATAAAACAAACAAGACAAAAAAAAAATAGAATACATGTGACGTTGCCATAGCAATATCCTCAACTTTGTCCCTATTTTTAGGGCTTTATATGTCAGCAATGAAGAACCAACCCTACTTTTTTAGGGGGTTTCTAAATCTAAATCTTTCCAATGAGAATTATTTAACAGAGTTTCCAGAAGGTCTTTTTTTTTGTAAAAGGGGGCTGAAAATACCCTATTTTTGGTGTTTTTATAAAAAACGTCAAATTTACACTCAATTTGTAAACTATTGGAAAGCAATAGGAGAATGAAATTTTATATTTGAAAACCTTGTGTTGTTAACTTATTACATGTAAAGTTTCACGTTTATCATACCTTTCCTTCCAGAGATATAAAAAGCCAAACTTTAAACTTTTTTTTTTTGAACCGCAGTATTTTCGGCCAACTTTGCTCCAAATTATCTAGATGGAGATCGCTCATGAGAATGTGTTTATTATTTTGTTTAATAGAGTACAAAAAGTTGTACAAGATGGCCAAGTTTTGTTTCTCTCAACAAAATATTGCTGGAGATATTATGTCTCAAAGTTGCTGGAATCTCAGAGTCATACTATAGAAGGCTGCGGTATGGGGTCAAACAAATGACTATATCTCCGCAAGTATTGCATCGGCAAACGTAACACTTTACCAATGTTCATTGGTGATGTGTGTGCATGTTCACACAAAATTTCATCAAAATCCGTGATGGTCGAGCAGGGACCCCCAGACCACTTGACATGAAATGACCCTCCCTCAGATCTGTGTATGAGTGCCTTTTTCACTTCAAACCTGAATATGTTGTCAAGCATTGATAACTTATCTGTTCTCGCCAAACCTTTATGTAAAGGAAATTTTATTTAATTCTGCAGTGCACTATGGATTAAATAACTTTCTGCTAATTTGGATGCAAAGTTTTTTTCTTGAAATGACTCCTAGTTGTCCAGCGGTGATATTTAAATTTTGAAGCCATATGACACTAATGTCAGGAGAATTTTATTTCATAAACTCTTCCCTTCTCTTTTTTTAGGCTTCATTCATACAGATATGACAACCCATTTGAAAGAAGAAGAGCTGAAAAAAACAATTCCTCTTGGAAGATTTGGGCAGCCACAGGAAGTTGCTCAAAGTATTGCATTCCTTTTAGAAACTCCTTATGTAACAGGCCTTGTTCTGGTTATAGATGGAGGCTTGCAGCTTTTGATTTAAACACGATGAATTCTACATGAAAAGTTATTCAGCTACTCTAAAAATCTCCAAAGAGATCTAAGCAATATCCTTCTTATTATATTTTAATTCAAATTAAAAGAAAGAAAAGATAACTAGGTTCCATTTTAGTTGTATTTGGAAATATAAGAGAGGATTAAAATAAATATATTCCAAAATCTATTAAAAGAGTATTGTATTTTTCCTGCAAGACTGGTTAATAGAACATTGTATATGTTGACATTTTTATGAGATGGCCCAGAAAGGCTTCTGTCTATGTGGAGGGCAACCTTCAGAGCCAGTTGAAGATCTGCAGAATTCTAGGTTCTCTTGTTATCTTGTTATGTTCTGAAATAATGCTGGAACTGGAATAGTACAGTATGTTATGTCAGCCTGGTGGTTGGCATAATTAATCTCTGCCCAGTACAATAGAAAATAAAATGCTACCTAGCTACTATAAACCAATAGGAAATAGATCCTCTGACCCCTTCTGCCCAATACCTCCAGATTGTTCTACCTGAATTATTTTTTAAATCACTGATGTCTTAAAAACTAATTAATTTATTGTAGTATATGTTTTCATGAACCCGAGCCTGTCATCAAAGTAGGTTTAATTCTGAAAAACTGGTACCATAAATCAGTTTACTTATGTGATGACACAAAGTTCAGTTCTGTTAACTATTAAGAGGAGCTAATACATCATCTTTGAAAATGGGCTTATTTATCATATATTTTGAAAATAAAGTAGGGATTTTTTTCATACTTGATATATAACTTTTGCAGTCAAAGAGGCAAAAGAAACTGATGAAACTTAAAAATGTTGAAAAGTCAATAATACCACTCTGTAGAAAACAATGAATACTGCACAAATGTAATACAGATCTCCTATTAAGTAGTTTCTAATAAAGTTTGCAAGTATATTTGTAATTAGGGTGGATTTTGGGGGAGGTATAGCAAACCAAAGACTGCAAAAGCAAACCTGACAACCACAGCAAAGACCAAGAAACCAGTGAATGGTACTTTTCTGGATAAGAAGAGAATTGGAAATCATTCCCCAAGTACTCCAGACAGTTGTTTGTTGTAAGGATGCCGCAATACAGCAGTTTTCAGTGAATATGAGAGGTGGGGGATGACAGGATTAGCTATCTTGTTCACAATTGTGGTGGAACATTTTAAAGGCCATTAGGTTTGAAAACCTCACTTTCTAATCACTTCAGAAATTACATATTAACCTAATCTTAAAACTATTAGAGATCCTCAGAATGGGAAGTTTGAAAAATTAACAGTTGAGTTTTAAATTCAACTCTGAAGAAAAATAAGCTTAAGAACTTTAAATTTTTTGAAATAAATGGCATAAAGCTAAATAAGATTTTGACCAAAGAAAGTTATAAACATATTAGGGTCCAGATAAATTTGGAATACTTACACTGTATGATTTTGAAATTAATTATAAAAAATGAATACATTTTAATGGGAAAAGATACATTTTATCTATTTTGACTATTGTAAGCCATAACATAAATAAGTGTCAAGATTGAATTGCTAAAATGCTTGCTAATCTCTGTCGCTACTCAACTTGCCATAAAAGCAGGGAGAAGGGGAAGCTTAGGAGAAACAGGATTTTAAGAAGCCATCTATGGACTGTGAGAACCAAGGTCACAGAATCAGGTATCTGACAGAGAAGTGGACCGTTCTCATAACAAACCAAAGAAATATGATTGGGGAACGTGAGCACTTGGAGGGTGGGGGGTTATGGAGAACTATTGTTAACTAACCAGATTTGATTTTGCTTCTTCAGTACTGAGATGTGTATTCAATAAAGTTGATCTTTTATCGCACCTCAGGGCCATAGAGTTTACTCAATGTTGGATTCAGTATTCAGACGGTTGACATTAAATCAGCTCTCCTGAAATTATGAGTGCAGCCTATTTGGAGCCTTCCAAGAGGACTGTAGCATAATGATGTCAGGAATGGAAATGAAGACCGAGACCGCAGCCAAGCTGGGGCTGATCCTTCCTTGGAAAACACCGGTGGCCACCCAGCTGGACTTCAGAATGCAACCAATGGTAATGCGGTCCAAGGTGACAGCGGAGAAGACGGGGCAGCCCCAAGTACGTGAAGAAAGAGCTGTGGCGGGATTCCTCTATGCCAGAAAAGCCCAATTAATGAGCGGTGTGAAGAAGGCTGCCGAGATGGAGTTCCCGGTGATCCCATCGAGGATTGTGATAACCCAGGGAAGTGAGTGGAAGACCAAGAGGGCTGCGGACTGGGAGTAATCAGCAGAGTGGAAACCTTTAACCACCTCCCTCAGTCCTTCGATGGAGCATTTGCCAGAAAAGTTTGGAGAACTATGTCAAGACTGCTAACATCGGATGTTCTTGCTTGCCATATATGAAGAAGCAAACATGTTTTATTTAGCCTGCATATCACTTCTAGAGTTAAAGCAGACAATGTTAAAATAGCGGGTGGGAAAGTATGATAGTTAATCACAACAATATTTCAGTACAGCATTGCCAAGGTCAGCTGTAACCAGAGGAGTTACGGGAGGGACAGTTCACACTTCAAACTAATTGGAGAACGTGATTGATGACTGTAAAATGAAGGAGTGAGTTATGCTTTGTTACGGGTGATTGGGGGTGGGAGGATTTAGTTTTTGGCTTCATTATGTACGTGCCGAAGCTATGTAGCAATAAAAGGATTCTTTAAGGTAAATAAAGCCTCAAAGTTCTTTGAAAAGCTGCTTCTTCAGAACCATGACATCAAGCCGAAACCCACAAATTTTTAAAACCATTTAGGGGTCCCTTACCCCAGTCACTATCTCTAAACTAACGGGGATAGTTTGACAAAGATTTGGGGAAGATCTCACCATGGAAGAGGAAGAAATGCCTGAGGCCAGCACCCCCCCAGCCGCAGCTTCCCCAGGGGGGGGGAGCGACAGCAGCAGCAGCTTCCCCAGGGAGGGGAACGACAGCTAGCCAGCGGGTGGAGAAGAAATTCTTGCAGATCCCCCAGCTGGGAGCAAAGCCAAAACTATCAGGAGAGCTGATTTGGTCATCGGACTGGGATAAGCCGAGCGGAGGCTCTGGAGGCTTCCATACAGGCCTGCTAGCAGATGAGCGTGAGTTACGACAAAGGGATTCTTACATATCGCATCCCCCACACCAGTGGAGAGCTGCCCGGCTGTCTGTCACCGAAGACTCAGGTGAGTGGAAATACCCACCTGCAGCTTGCAGTGGGTCATTAGAATACTTGGCAGAAAGATTTGAAGAATTAGAAGTGAGGAGCGAAGAGCAGCTCCCATTGAGAGAGGCCCCCAGCCCCTCCCTCGCAGATCAAACAGACTTTCAGACCCTGGGGTCCCCTGCCAGGGCCTCCAGCCCCACGGAGAGAGAAAACCCCAGCCTGGGCCCCCTACAGCAATGGGGAATTGAGCAACCCCCACAGATGAGTGCTCAGCCATCTCTGAGCTTACATCAACTAATAGAGACCTTGCAGCAGCTTGGGGCAAAAGCAAGGAGAGCAACAGCCGGTGGGCCCACAGATGAGGGAGGCCCAGTAACAACCCCCACTCATCCAGCAGCCATTGAGGGACCTGCAGCAGCAGAGGGCGTCACCAGCCCCTGCAGTCCAACAGCAGAGAAGACCACTACAACCCCCACTTGCACAGCCACCATTGAGAGGCCTACAGCAGCAGGGGGCACCACCAGCCCCTGCCGGCCAGCAGCAGAGAAGATAGCAGCAACCCCGCCCAGACGGCAACCTGTGGAAGACCTCCAACAACTCGAGAGGCCAGTACTACCAGTATGGCAACAACAGCCAGGGTGGGGCCAACTGCAACTGGGGGCACCACATTGACAGCTCAGCAGCTTTTGGATCAGCAGGCAGGATCAGCAGGCAGGATGAGGCCAACAACAACTGGGAGGGCCACGAGCACAGAGGGGGGTCCAGCAGCCATGGAACCAGCAGCCATGGTGGGGCCAGCAGCAACAGCCCCAGTGGGGGCCGCAACAGCCTGTATTTGCACCACCTTTCAGAGCAACCTTCGATGGGGACCCAGATAAGCTGATTTTTTTTCTGAACCAAGTGTGTTCTCACTCGAATCGCTGGGCCTATCTCTATCCGGACCCAGGTGCCATGGTCGATGTTATTGTGTCCAACCTAGAGGGAGAAGCATCTGAATGGCTGAATAATTTACATAGTGAGCAAGCCCCCAAACTGGAAGATCCCCACCTTTTTCTCCTAGGACTGAGAAAGATTTGAGGACCCATCCATTGGCCTCAAAGCAGCAGAACAGATCCACAAAATAAAACAAGCTGGTAGGCCTGCCCTGGATTATGTGCAAGAGTTTCGCAAGACAGCAGGTCGAATAGAGGGGTGGCCTGAGCAATCCCTAATCCATCACTTCATTGAGGGATTAGACGATCACCTCTCTCAGGCCTGCATCTATCGGGAAGTACCTGATCAGCTACAGGAGTGGTACCAGACAGCAGCGAAGCTAGACATTAAGCTCACTCGCTATAAGAAGCCTCCCTCACCTGAAATTGAACCAAAAACAGAACAACCCAGACGACAACCCCCCCTGGAGACCCCCAACAACTACATCTACCAAAAGACCCAGGCTATCTGCAGGGCCGCCACTCGTGTGCTTCCAATGCGGACAACAGGGACATCGAGCAGCGAACTGCCCAGTTCCCTACCCCCAACAGCAGAGCAGACCGAGACCTGCAGCGAAGAAGAAATCTGATCAGCAGCCACCGAGAGGAAAATCCAAATGAATCAAACAAGAACTGGTTGCCCAAGTCGCATCCCCCACACAGAACACCGAGACTAAGGCTGGATCCTTCCCCGCTCTACTCTCTCTCGACAGCGATGACGAAGGGGAGAACGACCCAATGGTGAGTCGACAAATCCCGCCTTTTTTGCTAGCCGCCAAATTTATAATCCCTAAATCGGGGGTACAAATGAACTTAAATGTGCTAATTGATTCTGTATGCATCCGATGTATTATTAGCTTACCCTTTGCCATGAAATTGGGCATACGAGCAAAATTGCTCTCTGAACCCATGAGGTTTGAGCAAGCCAATGGCTCCCTCATGGGAGGGACTCTTGTCACACAAGTAACTGAGCCCTTACGCCTAGAAATAGGTGCGCACTGGGAGTTTATTCGCTTCCTAGTGGCTCCAAAAATGACTGAGACTGTGATCCTAGGGCTAGCCTGGTTAGACAAATGGAAGCCGTTTATCTGGTGGGAGAAAGGAATGAGAACTGTGAGACTACCTATAGGGCCTAATCCCCCCATTGATTCAACGGATGTTGCAGGGCACCTTAGGCCACCCAATGAGCGAGCGCACATGGCCACCTCACCGCCTCCAGGCGAACCAGTCATCCCCAATGAATACCGGGACCTGGCGAAGGCATTTAGTGAA